TATACCGGAAGGGTCCTATTGGTCATATGGCCCGACACGTGATCGGCACAAGGATCCTATCGGCCACGTGGACAGACACGTGATGTCCTATTAGACATTGACGCAGTTCTCAGACACGACCTCGGCTCGGTAGAGGGCCAAAAACTAGGGACAACCCAACCCTTTTTCTACCAGCTCTGCCAAAGGTCGTGAACGAAGAGATTGTCTCGACCTTCTCGTATCGGCTCGGCCAAGGGTCGACAGAGCCAGAGTAGTTAGGACGATGATCATGATTAACAAGGGAAAACATGCGATTAAGGCATAATCAACCGATTAGCACCGCATTACCCAATTTGGTAAGTGTCAGAAGAGGCCTACTATGTTCAGGGCCCATGACAAGTAGTATAAATAGGTCACACGAAACGAGGTATGTCACTGTTCATGTATTACTCTTGAGAATCGTGCTTGTCCTGACTTGAGCGTCAGAGTGCCTTTTGCAGGTACCTCCCCCATCTGAAGCTCTCGTTCAGCTCTCCACTTACTAAAAGATTACGAGTGTACCCTCAGACAGGTACATTTTGGCGCCCATCGTGGGGCCGAACCGGAAGCTTTGAAAGACACACTAAGTACTATGGCGAAGACAAGGAGGACAAATACTGAAGACCACCGATCCGATGAGGAGCACCGATCTGATGAGGACCATGTCGAGGTGGTTGATGAGACGAACCTGATGGAGATGGTATGGTAGTTGAAGGAGGAGATGGCTGCCATGAAACAACAACAAGAAAAACACGCGCGGGAAATGGCCGCCTTGAGGGAAGAGAATGCTGCCCTGAAAAACCAAGACCCTACATGGAAACCTTTCGAGCCGACTCGAACGCACACCCAGGGGTCATTCCACTCGCTCAGACACCACACCTCACTTCCCCACACCTCCGCCGTTGCCCCTGGAAATCATGCCTCAGCTGTCCAAACACCCGGCCGATCGTTGCACACTATGCTGACCGGAGCACACCGACACCCGTTCACCCCAAATATCATGCAGTCTTTGCTCCTCGACCACTGGAAGTCCCTTCTGCTAGACAAATATGATGGAACGACCGATCCCGACGAGCATGTCGACATCTTTCTCACCCAAGTCACCCTCAGCACTACCGATGACGCCGCCTTATGCCGAATTTTTCCAACATCCTTGAAGGGACGAGCATTGAGCTGGTTCACCCGGCTCCTGGCGAACTCAATCGACTCTTTCAACACATTGGCATCCCAATTCACCATCCAGTTCGCCACCAGTTGGCCTCACCAGCTGACCTCCCTAGCGTTGGTGAGCATAAGGCAAGAGAAAAAGGAATCTCTTCGGACCCGACTTCCCTTCACCATCTGACAACAGCCTTGAAGTCGGGTCCGTTCACTAATAGCATCTACAAGAAACCCCCATCCGACATGAATGACCTGCGCTGCCGCGCTGATAAATACATGCAGATGGAAGAACTTGCTGAGTTTCATAACCAGGCCAGAGTAGAGGTAACGACCAAGATAGAAAAGCCGGATGAGAGCTCTTGGGCCGAGATACTCTCATTACACTCCGTTGAACACTAGCCGATCGGCCGTCCTAGATCAGGCACTTGCATCGGAAGTCCTGGCAGTGCTGAAGCGAGCCTCGACCCCTCCACGCGCCGACACGACCAAATCCTGCAAGTATCACGGAAACCGGGGCCACTCAAACGAGGAGGGCCCAGCCTTGAAAGACAAAATTGAGGACTTGATCAAACAAGGGCAGCTCCAATGCTTTGTTGATCGGCCTCAATCTCCCCGATACGACGATCGCCCACATCGCCAAAATTAGCCTGACAGAGAAAGGTCCGACAGGCGTCCCTACAGGGAATGCAGGAGATCGAGGGGCTGAAAGGAGGAGCTGACAACCCAGCCCTGAAGGGTCATTAATACCATTGCCGGCGGATTCGCAAGCGGAGGCTGCACCTCCTCAGCCCAAAAAAGACACCTGCGAGCCGTCTGAACCGTACACGCGGTTGAACACACTCAACAAAGGTTGCCGGCCATCACGTTCATCGAAGCCGACTTTAAAGGCATTGATCCGGATCAAGATGACCCCATGGTTATCAGCGTCGAAAACCACAACTGCATTGTTCGGAAGATGTTGGTTGATCAGGGAAGCTCGGCCGACATCCTCTATTGGAACACGTTCAAACAACTCGACATTCTGGAGGCCTATTGATTCCATATAACGAGCCCCTAGTCGGATTCTCTGGTGAGTGTGTCCAATCAAAGGTGTACATCAAGTTATCCACATGCTTCTATTTTGATGGGGCCAAAACCTGAGACATCCCGGTCAAATACATGATTGTACACGCCAACATGTCGTACAACATTCTCCTTGGAAGGCCATCCCTGAACAAGCTAGGTGCGATTGTGTCAACTCCACACTTGGCAATGAAATTCTCAACGGAGTCAGGCCGAATCATCACTATCCATGCCGATCAGAAAGCGGCCAGGGAATGTTATTTTGCCAGTCTTCGGCTACCACGTCTCGAAGCGGTCGAGCCGCGCGGAGTGAAGCACGTACACACAATAGCACAGGAGATTAGCCCAACAGTCATGGATTTCGTCCCTCACATGGAGCACGACGAAAGGGTCAAGCCGACCAAAGATAGGTAACCGTTCATCATTGGGACGATAGACTCCCATGTAACATATCTGGAATCTAATTTATCTGAATAAGCTAGGCGCCAGATACAACGAGTAGTTAGAGAAAACAAAGACCTCTTCGCATGGCGGCCGACCGACATGCCAGGAATCGATCCAGACTTCTTATGTCACAAGCTCTCGGTTTGCCAAGAGGCGAAACCAATCGCCCAACGAAAGAGAAAAACTGGGGAAGAGAGAAAGAAAGCGATAGAGGACGAGGTCTATAAGCTTCTAGATGCAGGTTTTATCCGAGAAGTCTATTATACTACATGGCTGGCCAATGTGGTGATGGTCAAGAAGTCGAACGGCAAATGACGGATGTGCACAGACTACACTGACTTGAACAAGGCGTGCCCGAAAGATACTTATCCTCTGCCAAACATCGACCGACTCGTCGACGGTGCGGCCGGCCACAATTTCTTGTCATTCCTCGACGCATATTCCGGATATAACCAGATCCGAATGCACCCCCAAGACGAGGACAAGACGGCATTCGTCACCGAGTCGGCCAACTATTGTTACCAAGTGATGCCGTTCAGATTAAAAAATGTCGGAGCTACCTATCAGAGACTCATGGATAAGATCTTCCATAGACAAATAGGCAAAAACATGGAGGTATATGTAGATGACATGGTTGTCAAGTCAGCCGATCTTCCTTCCCATGAAACCGACTTGGTCGATGTCTTCCAAGCACTGCGGAAACATCATATGCGCCTCAATTCGGACAAGTGTGTATTCGGCATTTCGGGCGGCAAATTCCTTGGTTTCATGTTATCAAGCCGAGGTACCGAGGCAAACCCGGACAAGTGCCAGGCCATCATAGACATGAGAAGCCCAACAAACCTAAAAGAGGTCCAAAAATTGGCGGGCTGATTAACATCTTTATCGCGCTTCCTACCATGTATGGCCAAAACCTTCAAGCCGATAGTAGCTCTCTTGAAAAAAGCGAATCGGTTTCAATGGACAGATGAATCTGAAGTCTCTTTCCAACTATTCAAGCAACGACTCGGCACCCCGCCCGTGTTGGCCAAGCCGATCCCCAGACGAGAAGTAGTTCTGTACTTGGCAGTTTCCAGCAAAGCCATCAGTGCCGTCATGGTACAAGAAGAAGATGGCTAGCAAAAACCTATATACTTCATTAGCCGGGTGCTGCAAGATGCCGAACGCCGATACCCGCTCTTGGAAAAGGTAGCCTTGGGACTCATATACGCAGCTCGGCATCTTCGGCAATATTTCCTGAGCCACACAGTGGTAGTTCGAACCGATTGCCCAATTGCCAAAGTGCTAAGAAAGCCAGAATTGGCCGGCCGAATGATGGCATGGTCAATCGAACTGTCCGAGTTCGATATTCGTTTAGAACCTCGAGGCACCATTAAATCACAATGCTTAGCCGATTTCCTCAATGAACTATCCCCTCTTGGGCAATTTGAGGACGGCACCTGGACCATGCGTGTGGATGGATCCTCCAACTGCCAAGGCAGCGGTGCCGGTATCATCTTGAAGAGCCCATCCGGCATTACCTTAGAATAATCTTTGCGTTTCGGCTTCAGGACGTCCAACAACCAGGTCGAATACGAAGCTTTGTTAACAGGAATGAGATTGGCTGCCGAGATGGGTGTCAGAAAGATCATATGCTGGACCGATTCAAAGATTGTCACGGAACAAGTGAACGACAACTTTCAAGTCAAAGCACACGCCGCGTGGGAATAATGAGAGAGCCGACCAATTGGCACAATTAGCAAGTAGTCGCAAGCTGGGAGAACTCCGATCAACGATACACTTGGAGTTGCCCACCCCAAGTGTCACACAAGTATGCATGCCGGTAGACGAAGCCCCGAAGTCATGGATGACGAACTCATGAATTTCATCGTCATTGGAACAAAACCACCCGAGCCGAATGAAGCCAAGAAGCTACGCACACAAGCGGCGCAATACTCGGTTATCTCTGGAGAGCTTTACAAGAGAGGCTTCTCCACCCCTTTGCTAAAATGCGTCGACCCACAACAGGCCGAATACGTCATGCAAGAAATTCACGAGGGGATCTACGGATCTCACTCAAGTGGAAGGACATTGGCTACTAAAGTCTTGAGAGCCGACTATTATTAGCTGACCCTCAAAACCGATTGTACAGAGTATGCGAAGAAATGCACACAATGCCAACAACACGACAACCTGATACATGCCTCAGCCGAACAGCTACACACGGTCAGTGCCCCTTGGCCTTTCGCTTTATGGGGCATCGACATTCTCGGCCCGTTCCCACTCGCCAAAGGATAATGCAAGTTTTTGGTAGTAGCTGTTGACTATTTTACCAAATGGATCAAGGTCGAGCCACTCGCCTCCATCACGACGGCAAACATTCAAAAATTTGTATGGAAGAACATCATCACTCGGATAATGGGCTAAAATTCACGGATAAAAAGCTAAACATCTTTCTTGAGAACCTCGGTATTCGACATCGATTCACGTCAGTAGAACATCCGCAATCCAACGGCCAGGCCGAAGTAACCAACAAGGTCGTTCTCACCGAGTTGAAAAAATGGCTCAGCAAAGCCAAAAGGGCCTGGGCCGAAGAGTTTCCCGAAGTCTTATGGGCGTATAGATGCACACCCCAGTCAAGTACGAAAGAGACTCCCTTCTGGTTAGCGTATGGCTCGAACGCGATGATACTGGTAGAAGTTGGCAAACCGTCATTCCGGCGGACACACTTCCATGAAGAATCCAATGACAATTCTCTTCGCGCAGAGCTAGATGTCTTAGATGAGGTGCGAGACAAAGCCAGAATCGTCCCCGAGAACATTCCACGAGGGCGATCTCGTTTGGAGGGCAACCGGATCGGCAAGATGCAATCCCACCAAAGGGAAGTTATCGGCCAACTAGGACGGTCCGTTCCGAGTACAACACACTCTCCATAACGGAGCTTACAAGCTTGAGGAACTGTCTGGCAAGGTCATCCCAAGAACGTGGAACGCTACCCATCTGAAGACATATTACAGCTAACTTATGCTGTATGCTTACACTATATACATGTATCACGATGCACTCTTTTCCTTGATCGATCTTTTTCCCCCTTATAAAAACGTGAAAAGAGATTTTTGGTGGGCAAGGTTTTTAACGAGGCATCAACTCATCAATGAATACAAATTCCATTATCTGCAATCGTCTACATTCTTAACTTTTTATTTTACGAGTTTTCCCTCCCGAGATGTCTCTCGGCCAAGGATGTGGCTCATGAAAAATTCCAAGCCTTCCCTCCCGAGATGTCTCTCGGCCAAGGATGTGGCTCATGAAAAATTCCAAGCCTTCCCTCCCGAGATGTCTCTCGGCCAAGGATGTGGCTCACGAAAAACTTCAAGCCTTCTTTCTCGAGATGTCTCTCGGCCAAGGATGTGGCTCACGAAAAATTTCAAGTCTTCCCTCCCGAGATTCCTCTCGGCCAAGGACGTGACATGTTTTCACTTTCATGTCTTCTCTCCCGAGATCTCTCTCGGCCAGGAATGTGACTTACGTTTTCAAATTTTCACAAGTTTTCCCTCCCGAGATGTCTCTCGGCCAAAAGCGCGGCTTAATTCCTTAATCACATTCATGTTTCCAATCTTATTCGGATACGTTACTTAACAAGTATTTGACAAGAACAACAAAGCGAGATTTCATTAAAAAAGGGCTCTATCGGCCCGAAATTACAAGAAATTTCATTAAAAAGGGCTCTGTCGGCCCCTGCTTACAAGAACAACAAAAAGTAATAATAGCAATACCCTAAGACTAGGCCTCGGGCTCCCCTTAGGCCGGGATTTCCTCCTCGGCAGCTTCTTCCTCGTACACCGTTTCCTCTCCACCAATCGGTCCGGCCTGGTGAGGAACGGGTGCTTCAGCATCAGGTTGTTCATTCGGGGGAATTTGAGTCAAGTTAACGTATTCCCCCCGAAAGAAGTCCCTTGACAAGTCAAATTGGAAGTCAGGAGGGAAACTTCCAAAAGCACCTGATAAGCCAATTGCGCAAAGCCGACCTCGTGTTGAGAGAGAACTTTGCTTCTAGCCCTCTCTCGGTACGAGCCGTACGCCTTCTTCTCGGCCTCTAGCTCGCCGGCCAACCGAGACGCCCGCTTAGACTCTGCCTTCTTCTTGCTGTTCGCCTGTGCATCAAACAAAGCAGCTAAAGCTTCCTGCATGGCCCTTTCCAAATCAGAAAGCTTTCGACGCAGCTCCGCGGCCTCAACGTTCGGCTCTATCACAGTGATTTGAGCCAAGGCCAATGCGCGAACTTGGAATTCGCAGAAGAAGCTCCACTTGTGGGAAGAGCTCATTCGGCCAAGAATAGCTTGCCCGTCCTCCGAGGTTAGGTCTTGGCTTAGAAAATCTTGGGCGTTGACATGGGATGCCAGGAAGCTCAGACTCACCAACCCTTGGGGAGCCGCGAGAACGGGCAACCTCTGTTGCTTCTAGCGTCGAGACTCGGCCTCGGCCCTCGCCTCGTCAGGCTTCCTCTTCGTAGCCTTCAGCCTATTCGTGTCTTGGGGACCTTTCCCCCTCGGCTGCACAACGGACCGGGCCATCGCGTGAGCTTGGGCCAGATTCTCTTCCTGCCCAGTCGGCACAGGTGTGGCGGCTCGGCCCTGGATCAAATTGCGAATGTCCAAGTCATCACTCTCGCAGCTCGTCATGATACCTGCACAACATTAGTCAAAATCAATGGCAACGCATGACTTTAAACATAAGACAGATGCTATACCAATTAAATCGTCAATCGGTTGTGATGATTTCATCAGCCGAACTAGTTTTCGGCACGGCAAGGGCCAAGGAAGCTTCTCCAAGGTATTCAAGTCGGCTCGCTCCTCTGAAGACATCCGGGACTTGGACACCACGTCATACTTCTTTGGCGTCCGAGTCCAATACAAGGGGAACAAAGCTCTCCCCTCGGCATTGAAGAAATATTTGTTGACGGTGCTAGGCCGAATCATAACCTTGAAAAATCCTACTTTAAATCTCTTGTAGGATGTAGTAAACATTTGAAGCAAACAATTGGCCCCCCAAAATAAAGAAAGCCATTTTGCCTTCTTCGTTGGCCGAGAGGCATAATAATACAAGAAAAGGTTGGGAGTCGGCTCGATGCGAAGTGCTATACACAGTTCTCGAAACCCTTGCATAGCGGCCCAGGTATTGGGATGAAGCTGCGTCGGTGCTACATTCAGCAGCCGAAGCACGCCAACAAAAAACTTGTCGAACGGGAGAGTCACCCCCAAATCCCGGAACAAGTAGTCGTACACAAAGAAATAGTGATATTTACATTTCTCTTGGCCCAAAAAGACAAAATCAGAATCCGGCCCCCCGTCATTTTGGCACGGTTGGAAGAAGAAAGCTGACGGCTCCTCATCCTCCGGAAGTGTAACAAACTTCTCGGCATCGAATAGCAGTGCAATAGAGCTCTTGTTGGTGTAACGCGAAAACACGCTCCCCACCTCTCCATGCACCCATTTGTAATCGGGGACTTGTATGGGGGGAAGCGACGAGAGGCCCAGCAAACTTTGCGAGTACTCGGCCGACCTTCAGATATCGCAAGCGAAGAAGCTTCTCCCCCACTTCCCGTCCGCTCAAACCCCTCGATGATTTCAAGGCTAACCGAATTGTTCGATGCCGAGGCCGAAAGCTCAAGCCGATCTGAAGACTCGCGCGAGCCGGTGTCGACAGATCCAATCCCAGCACCCCTAAACGAGCTAACCTGCAAAACTCTATCATCAACATCCCTTTCAAAGTCGACCATGGAAACGTATCTCGAAGTTAGGTTGGTCTCGGTCGGTAGCTAAAGTGGTCAAGCTTGATCTTTGTGTCAGCTCGGAGCAAGTGAATACGTAAACACATAAGGTTGGTCTCCACCACGCCTATTTATAGCGTTTTCTCAAGATAAACACCAACCGTCACATCCCTATGAACCGTTGGATCAACGATCCAATGATCCACAAACGACAACCCTTCACATCCCCCATCATTAGTGCCCAACGGTTATAACCCTTCACGTTCCCGTAATTAATACCCAACGGTTAAGAAACCAACGGTTACAACTCCACATTTTGACCTAACCGCCACAACTGTACCGGAAGGGTCCTATCGGCCACGTGGCCCAACACGTGATCGACACAAGGATCCTATCGGCCACGTGGACCGACATGTGATGTCCCATAAGACATTGACACAGTTCTCAAACACGACCTCGGCTCGGCAGAGGGCCAAAAACTAGGGACAACCCAACCCTTTTTCTATCGGCTCGGCCAAAGGCCGTGAATTAAGAGATTGTCTCGACCTTCTCGTATCGGCTTGGCCAAGGGCCGACAGAGCTAGAGTAGTTAGGACGATGATCATGATTAACAAGGGAAAACGTGCGATTAAGGCATAATCAACCAATTAACACAACATTACCTAATTTGGTAAGTGTTAAAAGAGGCCCACTATGTTCAGGGCCCATGACAAGTAGTATAAATAGGTCACACGAAACGAGGTTTGTCACTGTTCATTTATTACTCTTGAGAATTGTGTTTGTCCTGACTTGAGCGTCAGAGTGCCTTTTGCAGGTACCTCTCCCCTCTGAAACATCCATCTAAAGCTCTCGTTTGGTCCTCCACTTACCAGAAGATTACAAGTGTACCCTCAGACAGGTACATTTAGCATTGAAAGAGAGAAAAAAAAGTCATATTGAGAGAAGAATAGTCATAGAGGAAGAAATATATATACAATAGAATTTTTCAAAAAAAATTTCAGTACATGTATGAGGCATAACATGTTCAGCTTGGATGGTGATTAAATTTTAGAAACCAATAATCCCTCACGGTATATACGATGTAGTAGATAAATCCATCAATTGAATAATTTGTGTTCAAAGAGAGAAAAAAAAAAAGAATAACATTGAGAGAAGAATATTTATAAAAAGAAGAAATAAAAAATAAATAAAGAATAATAATATTACAATAATGTATTTTAATAAAATACTTTAAATAAATAACATAACACATACCTCTTTTAAAATATAAAGTATCTATCCTCTGTCATATAAATAACTCTGTACTACCTGTGACATAATAAAAAATGAACACCTTCTAACATAACAATCTAAACATAATGGGACTTTAATATTTTAATATTAAATACTTTTTAATCGTGCACGACAAGAAATAAACACCAAATGTTCATCGAAGAAAGCAAAATCCACCTATTTTTATTAATTGAGTTTATCTAAAAAAATCATCCACCAAATGCGCAGTAAAGCCACCTTCCAAAGATTTTTTGTTTTTTTACTTTAAAGCAACCAACAACCAAATGCTTTAATTATCTGATAGGATAGTGATTATTTTGGCTTATTTGCTTTAACCGACCATCACCAATAAAAAAATATATTAACTTTTGAATTTTTTTTCTTTTTATTTGTGTAACATTTTATATTTGTAGTAATTATTTGATATTCATTTCTTTTTTCTTTTTACTTGTGTAACATCTTTATTGGTAGAAACTTTAGTTTAATTTTTGAATCAGTAATCAAAGTATAAAATCTAATTATTTTGAAAATCATTATAAAAAAAACTAAACAAAATTTATAATATTTGTTTAAAAAGAAATTGTGTAAACACATAAACATATATAATTAATATTACAATATATCTTTATATAATATTTTTGAATAATTATAAATTAGTTTTATATTCAGAAATTTTATAATAAATTTTAAAAGATAAAATTAATAAAATATGAAATAATATTATAATTTTTTTCTAACATATATGATTGGTGTACATTTATGTTTATGGTATTATATGATTGGGTTCAAATCTCGTGCAATATTTCTCTGTTAATAAAAATTATCAATTGACATTAAAAAGTTGTAATCAATACATAAGAAGTTATGTATAAATACTTTTTGTTCATGTTAAAAAAACTATTATCAAAAGAAAAATTGATGGTAATTAGCTTTAAACAAAATGATTTGTAAATACAAAAGTGATGGTATGTTTTTTTTTTAAAAAGATATTGAGTTAAAGGATTTGGTTAAAAATAAATAATTGAAAGTTTTGAATCAGACTAATTTCATTTATTTTAAAAGAAGGTTATTATTTGAATTATAATAGGTAAAAATAATTAAAAGAATAAAGGGAAAAAATACATTAACTTCTAAAAAATAACATGCGTGCAGAAAAATTAATCCATGTCTTTACTAAGGTCATTGACTCATTGTAATTGATTCTGAAAACAATATCTTTACTAATCATATTTCTTTTGGTGAAGATGAAAATTTCAAACAAAAACAAAAACAAAAACTACACTATCCAACAATGAAATTTATAACTATTATAATTTATGAAGAAAAAAAAAACCCCTTCATCCACCAAAATCATCTCCAAGAAATTTGTTTGCAAGTGATTCTTAACTCGGACAGCCTCCACAATCTTATTATACGAACTCTTATCTTCTAGTCAATTCTTTCCGCTACAATGTCCTTTAGTAATATAAACCTTTGAGTCATGTCCTTTAAAAAAAGATGAAAGTAAAAAGTATATAAAACTTTTAATAATATCTTCACTAATCATATTTTTTTTTGTGAAGATGAAAATTTCAAACAGAAACAAAAACAAAAACTACACTATCCAACAATGAAACTTATAACGGTTATAATTTATGAAGAAAAAAAAACCTCTTCATCCACCAAAATCATCTATAAGGAATTTGTTTGTAATGGATTCTTAAACTCTGGCAGCCTCCACAATCTTATTATACGAACTCATATCTTCCAGTCAATTCTCTCCGCTGCAATGTCCTTTAGTAATGTAAACCTCTGAGTCATGTCCTTTAAAAAGAAGATGAAAGTAAAAAAGAATAAATTTTTTAATAATATGTTCACTATACATCAACATTAATTGAAACAACCAATCTTTAAAATTAAAATTTCATACAAGCTTACCTAAAAATGGTTTTCCTATGATTGATAGAGAAAATGTGAATCATCAGAAAGTGGACAATGTATATATAGGGAGAGTATTTTTAGAAATAGGGAGTATGATGGAACTGGACAATCAAAATGAAGTTTTGAAAACAAAAATGCTTTAAAAATTAGAGGATAGTTGAGATCAATTGGCATTTAAAAGCTACAACCAATACGTAGAAAATAGATATCCATAATTGCTTCTCTGAGTGGAAGACAAAATAAATGCAAGTAATTTGATGGGAAACGTATAAAGTAGAGCGGAAGAGGAAGAGTTTTTCTTTTGTATAAAACAAAGAGAAAGAAGAAGAGTTTTTATTATGTTCAAAATTTATTAAAATAAAAAATATAATTCAGAATAATTATGATAGATAAAATTACATAAGTACCTTTATTTTGAGCAGGAAAAAAGAATCACGGACTTCCTTCCTTTTATTATAATAAAGATTTATATATTAAAATTATTTATTAATTATGAATTTAAATTATATAAAAGTTTTACTGATAAAAAATTATATATATAAAATACTATTTTCTGTTAAACCCGTGATAATTTTTGTTGAGAGTTTGATGTGCTTCCCTTGGCAAGTGTCTGGATTGAAAGTAAAAACCCACTTGAGTTTTCTGCCTTGCATTTATGATTTCATTAAGTATGGTTCTTTGGATTCTCCGTCGGGGTTGCTAGCTGAAAAAGAAAAAATACCTCGATCGAGTTAAATAAGTATGTGCGCGTAGTTAAATAAGTAATTAATGCTCCTAGCTGGTAGCACATTAATTACGCACATTCAAATAATTAAATAAACTATTTTTGAAATGTATGTATTTTTTATTGATTGAAATTTATAAGAAAGTTTCATATATCATGATTCATTATAAAAGTTAAACCTGTAAAATAATATAATAAAAAATAAGTTTCAATAATAAAATACTGATATTAGAATGAAACGTATGTTTCGAGTTTTGCGAGAAAGCGCCTTATATTCATATGGAAAGTGGAAATATATCTGCTTTCCAATTAGGACCACCTTGTAAAGACAAGCTAACGTTAAGAGAAAGATGAAGACACATGCACAGTGACATCTGTATTTAGGTTGTTATAGTAGAGAGGACGGTGGAAAAGTAGGCGCAAAACCGGAGAGCGTTTTAAAGACAAGGAGAAGAACGCGTCCATAAATCATTATATTAATTAGCTTTCCTTGAGTTCGTGTGAAAGAGGGAAGAAGATGGAAGGTGTGGTACACAGAAGAGTAGAAGTGAATGGCATAAAAATGCACGTAGCGGAGAAAGGAGAAGGTCCTGTGGTGTTGTTCCTGCATGGCTTCCCTGAGCTCTGGTACACCTGGCGCCACCAGATCATGGCTCTTAGTTCTCTCGGGTATCGTGCCGTGGCTCCAGATCTGCGTGGCTACGGTGACACGGAGGCACCACCTTCAATGACTAGCTACAGCTGCTTTCACATAGTGGGTGACTTGGTTGCGCTTATAGACTCTTTGGGTGTGGAGCAAGTGTTCCTTGTGGCTCATGACTGGGGTGCCATCATTGGCTGGTATCTCTGCATGTTTCGTCCTGAGAAAGTGAAGGCCTATGTCTGCCTCAGTGTTCCTTTCCCCCGCAGAAACCCCAACGTCAAAACCGTAGATGTCATGCGTGCTATGTATGGAGACGACTACTATGTCTGCAGATTTCAGGTTTCTCATCAATATCTCTCTGCCCTACTTAATAGAAACTAATCCTGTTGGCATAATATTATTGGCTTTGCACCTACATAGAGCTTTTGTTTGGACTCAAACATACTCTTAGGTAATTAGATGAAAATAATTGTGTTTTTTAAACGGTGTGACAGAAACCAGGCCAAATGGAAGCTGAAATGGCTAAAGTTGGCACCGAGTATGTGATTAAGAACATCCTTACAACTCGAAAAACGGGTCCTCCAACCTTTCCCAAGGGAGAGTTCGGAACTGGAGTGAATCCGGACATGCCTCACACCTTGCCCTCTTGGCTCACACAAGATGATCTTGCCTATTATGTCTCCAAATATGAGAAAGCTAGCTTCACTGGAGCCTTGAACTACTACAGAAATTTTAACTCGTAATTTCTTCACTCTCCGTCTTGCTTAATTGGGATAATTGTTTTACACTGCTCTAAATTAATTTTTCTCTTGCATGATCATATGGATCCCAATTAATTAATTGCATGTGCGTGCAGAAATTGGGAGTTGACGGCAGCATGGAGTGGAGTGAAAATAAAGGTACCGGTGAAATTCATAACAGGTGAGTTGGACATGGTTTACACCTCGCTAGGCACGAAGGAGTATATCGATGGTGGAGGTTTCAAGCAAGATGTGCCCAATTTGAAAGAAGTGATTGTGCAGAAAGGTGTTGCTCATTTCAACAATCAAGAAGCAGCAGAGGAAATCAATACTCACATATACAAGTTTATCAGCAGTTTTTGATGTGATTCAAAAACCTGGAACTAGTAGCAGGGTAGTGCTTGTGTGAAATAAAGTGCATGGTACCAGCTAAATAAAATTCCAATCTGGTCATGCAAATAATATGTTATAACATATTCACATCAACAAATTTATCTTAATAATAAATTATGAAATGTGTGCATTTCAGAGTTAGCTTCTATATATGTGTATATATATATGATCGATACAATCTCGTACAAAATCAAGTGAGGAAAAATGTTTTTCGTCACACTATAAGGATTTTCTCATAATCGCGTGTTCTAGACTGTTTAATCAAGTATTAACTTTTCTAAACTTATCAAGTAAAAATAAAAATAAAAATCTTATATAACTCATTAGATACGAGTGAGCACCCTATGTCCCTATCTCATCATAAATATTTCATATCAAAAGCACAATAGTCTATTACTAAAATATAATTAAAATATTACTATATATATACTAATTATTAGCTTAAAAACGTATTCAAGTTTACTGATTAAATAAAGGGTGAAAACTGATCACAAAAATATTCGCGTTTCAGAAATTATTTATTACGAATGCCACTTTTAAAATATTTTATCATATATAGTAATTAATTATTACAAGTATATCATTTTTCTTTTAAAAAAAGAGAGTAAACCCTCTCAATATTTTTTATAAGATTAATACATCATTTGTTTTCTGAAGATATTTTAACTTTAAAAGCTAAATTATAAAAATATAAAAGGTGAAAGATTTGATTATAATTTTTTTTTATTTTGAGATTTAAATAAAACTATTCAAAATGTTCGAGATCAAACAATGTATTAAACATTTTTATACTATCATCTAATAGACATTTACAATTTTGTTGAATTTTTTAATTTAAAAAAATTAAATTTGTAACAATCATATTTTTTATTTGGTTAATAATGTAAAAAATAAATTATATTAATGGTGCATAATTAATAAATTTTAAATTTTTCAAAAATTTAAGGTAGCTAAAAGATTTAGTTATTATTTATTTTTTAAATACAAATGTCAGTGATATATAAATTATTTATTTAATATAGTATTTTTTAATAATTACTTAAGATATAATAAATAAATAAAAAATAATTAAAAGATAATTAATGGTGTTATAATACAAAATTTGAGGTTCTCTATTAAATGAAAGTGTGACATGCGATTTAAAATTTTAGGCCCTTGACTGGCTTAACAAATAGGCCTTAGGCCAACCTATCTCTTAGGTTCATGGTTAATTTACCTTCTAGGTCTGTGGTTAGCATACCTCCTAGGTTCATGATTGACCTCATTCCTAAGTATGTGACCGACTGATCATAATTTGTTGTTCTTAGCCGATTAATCACGATATTTTGTTCCCTATTGAAGTCGACCAATCATGATACATTATACTAGTCCAACCGATAAATTAGTCTCTTCATCTTTTAAACTCAAGACTAGGTGAAATTGTACCTTTATTGTCCCATAGCTGACTTAACTCGTAGGCCTTTGGCGAACCTATCTCTTAGGTTCATGGTAATCCTCCAAAGCCTATGGCCAACCTACCTACTAGCCCATAACTGGCCTCATTCCTAGTCCTGTTAAGTTTTTATTAGATAAAAATAGTTTATGTGTGATATAAATGTTGAAAAATATATGTGTGTGAAGACATATGAGGAATACCCTAGAATTTTCTTAGAATATTATAAATTGACTTGATATTAATTTATGAATTTATGGTGTAAGTATTCTATCTTCTATCAATGGTGATAAATAATTGAAAAAAATGGTATTTGTGATTCATCATAAATCATGAAAAAGGTACATGTATATATAATGATTTTAGATATGGCCATAATGAAATATCTCAAAATTTAAAGAAGATTTACTATTTTAAAAAAATTATCAATCCCCGTTGAACAAAAAAAGTTATTTAAAAGTATATTTTTTCATTTAAAAAATTATTAAAAAATAATAGAATGAGATAGTTATTTTTAAAATGTGGACAATTTATAGTTTATGAAAGAATAACTTAAAAATATAATTGAAACTAAAATATGTATGAAAAAACGTCAATCACCTTTTTTAAATTATTAATTCTCATATGAAAACCTTAAAATTAATATTTATTGGAGGAAGTACTAGCTAGTACTTCCAGTCTTGTATTCTCTCATGAATCTCACCGATCAATTAGTAACATCTATTATTTGGAAGTATTATTTTTATGCCGAATTATTATTTGGAAATATTAATTGTATGTAATCGATACCCCCGATGTAACACCGACGAAATATGAATGAGAAATTGGGTCAAACAAGTATGTTTGATCAACTTACTTTTTCTTTATTATATATTAATTATAAAAAAAAACCTCATTTTCATTGGTGAGACAGATAAGGTGATTTTATTTGTTTAACATTAACTATGGACCTCATATTCATTGAATCATCGTTCTGTCCGCCTTCTAAAGTTATAATAATGATTCCTAGATAAGAAACAATTACGTATGACTTACATGCAGTTTCCCTGAGACTAATAAAGACAAGATAGCGACTTGCCGTATTTATATATATATACATACATGGGATAGTGCATGGGCGAATGTGTAAAACTAAAACGAAAGAGAGAGGGAGATGGAGGGAATAGAGCACAGGAAAGTGGAAGTGAATGGCATAAAAATGCACATAGCAGAGAAAGGAGAGGGTCCTGTGGTCTTGTTCCTCCACGGCTTCCCCGAACTCTGGTACTCCTGGCGCCACCAGATCCTCGCTCTTAGTTCCCTAGGATACCGCGCCGTGGCTCCTGATCTGCGTGGCTACGGTGACACCGAGGTTCCACCTTCGGTCACTAGCTACACCTGCTTTCACATAGTGGGTGACATCGTTGCACTTATAGACTCTTTGGGTGTCGATCAAGTGTTCCTTGTGGCTCATGACTGGGGTGCCATCATTGGTTGGTATCTCTGCATGTTTCGTCCTGAGAAAGTGAAGGCCTATGTATGCCTCAGTGTTCCTCTCCTCCACAGAGACCCCAAAGTTAGAATAGTTGATGCCATGCGTGCTTTGTATGGAGATGACTACTATATCTGCAGATTTCAGGTTAGTGTTAAAACATTTTGACTTTATTAATTGATATAACGGTAGATCTGATGTGAATAGTTGTGTGACAGAAACCAGGCGATATGGAGGCTGAGATGGCTCAAGTTGGGACTGAGTATGTCATAAAAAACATACTTACCACTCGCAAACCTGGTCCTCCAATCTTACCCAAGGGAAGCTTTGAATTCAATCCAGAAATGCCGCACACCTTACCTTCTTGGCTAACACAAGATGATCTTGCATATTATGTCTCCAAATTCGACAAAACCGGCTTCACCGGAGGCTTGAACTACTACAGAAGTTCCAACTCGTAATTTCTTCACTCTCCGTCTCCCGGATAATATTTCTTTTCTACTGCTCTAAATTAATTATTATCTTCTTGAACAAGATTATAGGGTTCCCAATTAAAAATCATTAATTTGTTAAAATGTGATACAAACATCTAGAATAAGTTATATTATTATAGATAAATATATAAGTGTACGCTAGGGAGTATTAAATGATATAAATTATAGAATTACTTAAACAATTACATTTAGATAAAAAATTCTAAAATAAATATCTCTAGAATCCTATATATAAAATATGAATGGTGATTTTTAAGTTTATAAATAAATTATGTATTCAACATTTATAATCAAACAATTAGTAAGTTATTTTCACTCCAATCTATTCCAACTATTTTTCTAAATTAGTTTTCCTTTCAATTAAGTTTATCAATATAAATTTGTTTCCCATTCTCTCTACCAATCAAATAACATTTTATTATTTAATAATTTATAAACTAATAATTTGCAGAAATTGGGAGCTGACAGCACCATGGGATGGGGCGCAAATAAAGGTGCCGGTAAAATTCATAACAGGTGAGTTGGATGTGGTATACACCTCGCTTGGCCTAAAGGAGTATATCCATGGTGGAGGTTTCAAGCAAGATGTTCCCAATTTGAAAGAAGTGATTGTGCAGAAAGGAGTAGCTCATTTCAACAACCAAGAAGCACCAGAGGAAATCAATACTCACATTTATGATTTTATCAACAAGTTTTGATCTCATTCGAAAAGGTCTAAATTATTCATCTACTGGAGTGGAGAAAACCCCTTATCAACTCATACCTCGATGCATGTGTGTTATAATATATGTTGAAGCCGCTATAGAATTTCTTTCTTTTTTTTTTTCTTCTTTCAATCTTATCATGTTTATACGATTATAACATGTTCTCATTAATAAATTTATCATAAAACATAATTTGAAATATATGTATTTGGAATTGAGCTTTAATGCTTGTGTATGATCTCGATACTATCTCGTATATAATGTAAGCTTTATTTTTATAATTAAAATATTATGATATTAATTTATATTACTAACATTATATATATTTTTTGTCTTATTTCATCATAATATATATATATAAACACTTTTTTTCTGCAACACATTTAAACACGTACTAGTACAAAAATCACTTTTAAAATTGGGATTTTAAAATCGGTCATAAGGTAGTCGATTTTAAAAGTGACACGTGACAATTTTGTAAATAATGACATTACTTTTTAAATCGGCTACCTTATGACCGATTTTAAAGGTCTCTGATGCTATTTTTAAAAACGGCTCTTAAATAATCGATTTTAAAAGTACTACTTTTAAAATCGGCTCTCAAATAACTGATTTTAAAAGTGCTACTTTTAATATCGACTATTTAAGAACCGATTTTGTATGTAGTTTTTAAAATCGGCTCTTAAATAGCCGATTTTAAAAGTTCTACTTTTAAAATTGGCTATCTAAGAACTGATTTTAAAAACTACATACAAAATCGGTTCATAGATAGCCGATGTTAAAAATGTGAGAACTTAATCTAAAGTCTACAGTCCCATCCTCCTTTTCCCTCCATTCTCGAATCTTTGGCTCCATATCTTCTTTAAATTAAGTCTACGATTCATATATTCTTTTCTTTACTCTCTCACGCTCTCATTTAAAGTCTCTAGCTTCTCATTTTCTTGGAAGAATACAATATCAATGTAACATTCTCTTCTCATGTCTCTTATTTCGTTGTTGTTGGGCGAATTTTGAATTTGCAAACAAAAATGCCCGTTCTACAACTAGAACGGGCCGTTCTGAGGCCGTTCCATACTACAGTTTTAGGCATTTTTCAGATTCTGGAATGGCCTGTTCCAGTTTAGGAACGGTTCGTTCCAAAGTGGGCACCTTTATTTAATAGGATGTTGTTGCCCCAGCAAAGGCTATGCTTAACCATTCTAGAAATCTACGATAAAAAACTATGGAGATTGGTTGCAGATGTGAAAGATGATAGTCGGATAGTCGACCCAAACAAGTCCCTTAGGCTCCTGAAGTGTTTGGCTTCTGTAGTAATGTCCCCTTATATATAAGCCAGAGCGACATATCAGAGATTACAAACGGGCACTGCATGCTGAACATATCAATTTTGCAATTGTGGTTATTGTAAGTATTTGAATTAATTTTAATTATGTTTTGTTGCTTTTTTCTAACTTTATTTCAAACCTTGTAGATTTATCCATAAATTGAGTGTGGATAAAGGGAACGATCACATTTATGAATTTTTGGAACTCGAGTTAATCCAAAAAATTAGGAACAAGACAGAAGAAATTCAAGCTTACATCCAAAATTGGATGTCTGACTCAAATAAAAATGTTTACTTAGCTCCTTACTTTTCTAAGTAAGTCTATTTATATATAATTGATTATAAATTTTAAAAAAAATGTATTGTCTATTACTGATAGTTTCTCAATGCAATGCTCATTAGCAACTTCTGATTATTTGTCCTATGGACAATATATCTGTATGCATTTGTTCGATGCACAAACCTCCTCTTGTAGACTTTAAACAATTATTAGATATGTAAGTTGTTTTAAAAAAACTTCTTTATTTTATTTATCATTATATTTTATTTTAAAATATAATAATGATGTCCTTTTATCATTAGGTCTATGGAAGGATACCACATACTTAAAGGTTAAAAGTTGAAGAAAAAAATGCTTTGGGTCTCTCTTAAAGTAAGTTATTTTATTTTAGTAATTATATTTTTTCAAAGGTATTTTCTTTTGAATTACCATTACTACTAAAATTGGTTTTTATATTCTTTTTGTAGTCTCATAAGCAAAAAGGAAACTATAAGTGCAGATACTATGTAATGAAGGCAATGCATACTATTGTTGATTCACAAATAGTATCTGGGTGGACTGAAGTACATTTTAGAATTTTAAAATTTTTATTTTAAGTTTGCATTTTATCATGTTTTAAGAGTTACTTCTAATTGTTCTAAATTTTCTTAACAGATATTTATAGATCGATCACCATTGTCGCTAGAAGATATAAACACCATTAGGGAGTAATGTGCTACATTTTTCATTGAAACATTGACTAGCTACGAGTTATGTTTATAGTTTTACTCATTTTGTAGTTTAGAATGCATAATAATTTATAAGTTACTTTGATTACATATATGGTTGACATTTACCAACTTGTCATTTGTATGTAATTTGGTCCATTAAAAACATATGAATTATCTAGTATTTTATTAATTTACAGGTTTTGTTCAGGGATTCTCCTAAAAAAGTCAAATATTTTTAAAAAATTAACCACTTTTAACATCGGTCATGCCATAACCGATGTTAAAAGTTAGACTTTTAACATCAGTCATGTTATAACTGATTTTAAAAGTCTAACCTTTAACATCAGTCAAGCATGATCGATGTTAAAAGTCCCACTTTTTTAAAATCGGCTCTTTTAAAATTGCTCAGAGAATCAATTTTAAAAGTAAAAAATAACAAATTTTAAAAGTATTTTTTCCACTAATGACGTGTTTTAAAATATATTCACAAATTTACATATAATTTTAATGTATATTATATCATCTAGTTTGGACACACCGAGTTTACAAATCAGACATGTTCTTAATAATTGTAATTTAGATAACAACCAAATGATAATACTTACATTATATCTATAAAAAAAAACTTGAAATACATTAAAGAGTGACACAAAAATAATATCTCACTCTATAACTACCATACAAAATCATTTTTTGAAATCACGTAATACAGTCAATACAAATATATGAAACACCAAGTATATATCGATCTACTTCAATTTAATTCTTAACAAAAATTGACTTTTAATTAGACCATCATATCTACTTTAACTTAATTCTTAAAAAAAAAATTGACTTTTAATTAGACTATCAAAGTATCTTTGTAGAAGTTTTACACTATCATGTCGTAGATATCAAAGTAACCATACATCACCTTACCATTAGAACACTTACAAATTTTAAGAAGAACATATTCATATCTTAAACTTTGGTAAAAGGTTATATATATTTTAAGAGAAATAAGTAAATCACACTTATTAAAAGAAAATTGAAACTGATTTATGAATATTTGAACTTATAATTATAATAAAAAAGATAATGATTATATATATATATATATATATTATATTAGAGACTAATTTAAAAATTACAAATATTTGATATTGTTTTATTTAATACCAATTAAGGTACTACTTTTTTTTTATTAAAATAACTCCTAACACAAGTAAACAAATAATAATATTATGCGAATAAAAAAACAAAATAATATTATACTTTTTAAAATGTAATTTATTATAATTAAAACAATCTACTGAATCTTCAATTATAGTATTTGTAAATATTAACATATTTTTAAATACTTAATAATTTATATTATATATTATTAATTTTTGGTGTTTTATTATGAAGGACTACGTCCGATCGTTGGCAAACTACATACCAAGAATTACACTAAAATAAAAATTAATTTATCGAAAATTGAGTTCTAGATTGTTACAAGTATTTTAATATTCAAATATCATGATATCAATTTCTATTACTAACATTACTTTAAATTATTCTTATAATAAAATAACTTAAGCTTTATATATATTTTTTAATCTTATTTCATTATAATATATATAAACACGTTTTTTTCCTACAGCACTTATAAACAATATTAAACAGGAATTTTTTAGGGATTTTGTTGCAGAAATAAATTTGCAGGAAGTTTTTGTGAATTTTTCTAAAAAAATTATTTGCAAAAATTTCTTATAGATTATTTTATAAAAAATAAAAAGAAAGAAACTTTACAAATTTTACTGTAATTATATTGATTATAGGATTTTTTTTTTCGATTCATAGAAAACGGTGCAGGAATTTTCTTTTATTTCTTGTAAATTTTCTTGTGAAAATAAATTTATAAGTTATATTTAATGGTATTTTAATAAATAGTAGAAAAATATACAACTAACTTTTTCTATGAGTTTCCAGCCAATTACTATAAATTTTCACAAATTTCTTTAATATATATATATTTTTCTGTGAATTAAAATTCTCATGAAATATTATAAGAAACTTATATATTTTCTACAAATTTGATTTGCAGAAAAATTAAATATTTAAAAATTCGTAAAAATATCTGTATTTTTCAACAATCAAGAAGCAGCAGAGGAAATCAATACTCACATATACGATTTTATCAACAAGTTTTGATCGCATCCAAGAACAGTTTCAGGGACGTGGAAATGTGAAGATAAAGTCGACGGGTTTAAATCGTTGAAGTTGCGCTTATTTTACAAAAACATATATCTCATGGGGAGGATCCCGATCCAGACAACTTTGCTGCTTGCTATGTCCAAATTTAGAAAATAAATTTTCGATCTTATCACTAATGATGTAAGTCATAAAATAAATTGTCGTTAGGAGTGTGAAAAAATTCAAATTTATCCGAACTGATATATGCATCCACACCTTTGGCCCAACGTCACAAGTTTAACCCACGTTCGACATAGAGCATTCTTGGGATTTCAGAATCAGACTAAGGGATTTGTCATTTTGAACATAGACACAAGAGATTTTTGTTTCTAGAAATGTTACCTTTCATGAAGAAAATTTTCCTTTTGTCCTAGATAAAATTATTCATGATAGTTGTTTTTCTAAAGGCCCAATACCTTTAGTTTTTGAAGCTCCAATTCCCAACCTTGAACCATTATCCAAGGAACCCAACTTAGAGTGTGCGTCCAATATTAATTAATCCCATTCCATTAAATACAGAAAATAATTTGTCCCTTTATTCATATTAGTCATAGTTATTGTTCTATGTATATTAAAGTTTATTTAAATAACATTTATTTATTTTTATGCAATTCATACACTTTATTTATTTCTAGCTATTATTATATTGTTTTTTATTATATTGTTTAAAGCATATTTTAATAAATGGATTACG